GGGCCTGAGAACCATGACTCCAGCAGCTCGCGGCTCACGCGGTTGTCACCTCATACGAAGATTTCGGCCTCATCAAACTTGAAAATATGGCCGGGTCCCGTCGAGTGAGCTACAACCTGGGAGTCGGCGTCTTTCTTCCTCACCGCCGCTGCATGATCGGCCATTCGGGTCTGGGGTAATCTCCCGGTTTCTCCGACGTAGTTGCTTTGTCCACAACTACACCAAATCCGGTAAACAACTCAAGCCGTTTCGTGCCGTGGCAGTGGGTCTTTCGGTCTCATGATCCGGCGTCTGATGGTTGCTTCCTGGAACTCGCATATTCGCCACTATTAGTTACCCCTTTTAGTTTCTCCAAAATTGTGTTGATAAACGGACCGTAGTGTCCGAAGTATTTGAGAAGGCAAATCAACCACTTTGTTAGTCCGTACGTTAGAGTACCTTTCAGCAATACGGTGGGTCGGAAAGAAACGCCCTCCTTTTGCACCTTGGGGAGGCCGTAGAAGCCGGCCAAGGCCGTTTAGCGCATTTTCATCATGCGTCAATCAGACGACGTTATCGCACCCGAGTTCTCAAGTGCCAAGAGGGTCAGAATAATTTCGTGCGTCGGCTTTTTGAGGGGACTGGTTTCCCATGGAACATGAAACTGACGATCCTCTAGTAAGCTTTTGGCTTTCTGTAGGTAGTATTTTCTGTCCAATGCGATTGTGTAACGCTCCTTGTCAGTTGGCACGGTTACGATGTCCCGGTCTGCGTTGAGTGCTCTTAGCACATCGCATTCGAACATTGAGAGCACTTCGCGCGGTTGATAAGCCATAATGAGCGGCGATAGCCTGTGTCGGATAAGGTTATTCGTCTCCTCCATCGCTTCTTTGTAAGTAACGAGCGATTCCACAGCTGCAATCATTGTAGCAGCTTTAGCATTAGCCAGGTTGAATGAAGCCTCGTGCTGTAGAACCTATATTTGCTCCTTCGTCAGTTCTTTCGACGACAAGCTCTGCACCGGTATATCGTTTCTAGATGACGTTGGATTATGCAATTTGCGAAATTTGTGCTCCAGTGTTTCGTCGGGTCTTGCTTTCTTTTCGCGGGTTCGTCTAGTCACTATCTGCTGAAGCAGTTTTTTTCCTGCCTTCGCCCATGCACCCACAGCACTGGATCTTCTCTTGGTTAGTTAGCTGGCGGTATTTGCGCATCCTCGCATGCAAATCTTAAAGGAACACACTGATCATTCTTCTTCCGTGTTGAAACAATGCGAGTCACTCAGCTCTATGTTCATTGGGAGTTTCTATGTAACACACTTCGGGCAACACGCTATTGTCTAGAAATCTGTGCAGAAACTGGATCTGCGCACAGGTTGAGGCCTCACGAAGGGCAGACGGTTCCCATCGCTAAGGCAAGTCCTCACTTGGGGACAACGCGTCGTGTAACGCCAACGCCGGGGAACCAGATGGTTGAGCAATCGTCTCGTCCAATTCCACTGCGTGTAATGAAAGTTCAGCAGACCACGGCCCGTACGCCGTTTATCAAGCCATTAGCGCACAAGCAGGCAATTATGCTCGATGGGGTGGGGGGGGGGTTGCTAATTGTCAAAAGTGTGCAGTTGTGTATTGACTGTATCCTATAAATACTGTCATTCCCTGTGCATAGATTACCCGTTTCTACCGTTGTGTCTACTGATGAATCCGCGACGGATTTCGAAGCGTCAGGCAAATAAAATTCTTGTCTCAGCTACCACATCTACCTCTTTTCGATTACTTCTCGAGACTCGCCTGTTCGCTTACAGTGACAACTAAGGACCCCCCCCCCTTATCAAGGATAATTTCCCGCTTGTGCGTTAATTGCTTGGTGGCCGGCGTGCGGGCATTCTGGACTTTCATCACACGTGCTGGAATTGGACTATGCATGAATAACCCATTTTTACTAATGCCTTTGATGAAGATCGCGCGGCGGATTTCGAAACGTCAGGCGATTAAAAGTCCTGTCCCAGCGATCATATCTTCTACTAGATTAATTTCTGGGACTCGAATGTTCGCTTGTATTTACAATTTTGTCAGTTTCGTCTAGAAGAAAACATGGCACATAAGCGGTATGTGTAAACGCATTTTTAGTCCAAAATACACACAAGACATTTCTACATTTCAAGCTATTTTGTGTGTTCCAAGACCACACACAGGAACGGATCTTCTGAGTAATGTTGTCGGACCACCGCTAGAGTGTGACAACCAACATAGCTGATTTGTCTCAAGTAATGAGCAGCGACCTTAACGAAGGGAAGTCAAATGCGCTTGCATACAATTTATTTAATCCGCGGCTTATAATATAGTCGAGGAACACCACACCTGTTCCGTTGAGAATAGACTAAGAGCGCCCACGACTCTTAAAGCTCTCGAAAAACATTAACTTATTCAATTAACGGCAGTTTCATGTCCTACCGATGCTCATTGAAGGAAAAGAAACGGCGGCGGTCCCCTATATGGTCCACCAAACAGGACACGCGATGGAATACTGCGTATAACACACGTACTTTTTAACTACACTCCAGGGGCTTCAGGATTAGGATAAAGGTTTAGGCTAGGATTCGGTTTTGGTTATGGACCAGGGCAGAATTGTGGTAGTGACTAGGATTAATCGTAGGGTGTGGCTTATGGTTATACTTTGGATTAGGACAGAGGAATATCTATCTTTCTGGAATTCAACGCAAGGCTAGCTGTACTACTGGTTGGCGCTTTTACTCTCAGGGGGAGGGCGTATAAGCGATGCCGTCCAGGGCAGATGTGCTTTTTATCGTCTAACATCAGGAGACATAGCATACTTACTCCGACGAGACTGAAAGCTGAATGTTCACGAGTTTTGCAAGCAATGAAAATAGCGGAAAGTGAAAGGGCAAAATTAGCCTCAATAATGAGAGTTTATTTGTAGTATCACTTTTTTCATACCTGTTTTTTATCATTCGGCTTTGGAGAGCTGAAGAAAAGAGTGAAGAATGCATGGTTCAGCTTTTGGAAATCGAAAGTGATAGACATATTAGACAATTATTTATGGAATCGGTCAATGTGCACTTTTATTCCTCGCTTAAGGTTGCCTGGAATTTAGGTACTTCGAAGCAAAATCTTATTTTGAGGGACGATATTTTTTGCTCAATTTAATTGACCCAATCATGAAAAATTGGGCGTTGATCCAAGTCTGGTTAAATTTACGGCTCACGGTGAGCCTCATAGTTCAGTGATAGAGCGTTGACTGCGCAAAAACCTTCCCTGCTGTGTGAGTTCGACTGCCACCGAGGCCGTGAGTTTTTCATAATTTGGACAACTGCACTATTTAAACCTATCAAATCCCCCCCCAACGATATTTTTGCCTTCTTATGTTTGAACTTACCACCAAATTACATATATGTCCTAGTTTTCAATATCTTACTCTCATTTAAGGGAATAAATGTATGCTGCACAATTATTACAGATGAGCCTGCCCGAATAAACAATATATTCTTTTACATTTTTAAATTCAAGCGGTCAATATTAGGGGGATGCAAGTAACAGGGCGTCAGAAATGTAAGTTTGAACTCAGTGGGTATGCAGTTTCCCTACGCAACAACTATTACAGAAGCAGCGCGTTATCTTTGTGTAAATAAACCAGAACATTTTAATTACTCCCGTCTCTCGTTATGGATTCGAGTAGAAAAGTTTGTTCTAGTCTTCATGCATTTTTGGTTTCTGCGTCATGTTCTTTTTTGTTATATTTGATTAATTCAAGGTTGCCAGGCGCGACGTCATTTTTGATGTACAGCAGTTGTTGGAGCCTTTTCAGACGAGACACAATTCCCGACCTAGACTACAAATAAAATGGCCAGGTAATCTTTCAAATAATAAAATATTTGTTGTACATTCCAGACATATGGGTCTATGTCGTAATCCCATCCTCGTCAGATCGACCGCGAAAATGCAAACGTCCCTCGATATAAGCAACAATTGTCGTTCCTTATCGACTTTTTAAACGTGGTGGAGGAAAATGTAACTATCTAAAAAATAAGTGCGGAGGAGCTAGTGGCTGTACGAAGGATCCCGTAAGCCTTTCATCCACTACAAAAGGGCACACATGAAGTATTTCATGTTATACTAAAGTGTACAACTGTGTACATATTTGAAAAAGGTATTCCATAATGTAATCCATTCAAATATACGCCAGTTTACAGCAATATCAAAGTACTTGCCCCCGATTTATCCCGCTTACAGGATGAAAGTGGGCACTTTGATTTTGCCCTAAAGTCCCTAGGCTAGAGCAATTGCAGGTGGTAAAATAACGGCGTGCAATAGAAGAGCGTCATGTATAAGGGCAACAGGAACCGGAAAGGCCAACTCTGGCTTATTTGCTATCACCGGTCATAATTCCCCAACTTTGGGCAGGCATCTAGGACCTGAATCCCGACCGGTTAGCCATATATCATGTTATGCCCTCTGGATATATATGACGTAAAAAACACGTAGATTGTCATTCCTATGTAGCATTAAACATAAAACTCGGACATTGGTGGAGGGCTGAGGTATGCTAAGGCACCAGTGAGGGCCATAACGCTTGACCTGGATAAATTACCCATGTTGTCAAGCTTATATGAATTATTTATCTACTGTCATAGAACGCATTCTTTCGTTTACCTTTAAACAAAACGCCAGGAGTCAGGAGGCAAGTAATCATAAATACGTGTTAAAACGATAGCCAATCCGTCTCTGCGTCTAGTCAGCCCGTATGACCGAGAGCCGCAATGCTTATTTATTCTAGCCGGGAAAAAAGCTCTTCCAGTGACTAAACTAAAATATTTTGGCTCAATGTCGTCTAGGTGGGACATACCGATCTCGACCTTCTAAAACAGTAAATTTACGTGCAAGTCCACTGCAATCATCAGACGATCAATACGACAGGTCCTTGAATGATAATCCTAGATCTAAGTTAATATACATGAGTGGTGTCTTCTGATGTATTGGATAAAACCCACCAATTGGAACTGGAAAGGTGCCACCAGGTCTCAAGAAAATTGCGATAATTGCCAGCGAATTCTACAGGTAGCATCAAAATTTCCTGGAGATAATTGCATGTCCTATCCCATACTTTTTTTCTGTCTCAGCCGTACTCTCTCCAGTGTGTCACCTGCTCAAAATTACTTGATGCATTTCGGAGAAACCTCTCTATTTCCTTCCCTTAATGTTGTCGCAGGTTTCCTGTACGTACGCCCTAACCCCGTCTAATTAATTGTATGACACGCAGAAAAACCTAAGCCACCGTCTCTTCCCTTCTTCATCTCCCTTAAATTTTTATCCAATTTTAACATTTAACCTACCCGCCTCGGAAAAAAAATCTACCCACCCAAGGCACTTATTTCACAGACCGGAGTATCAAGTGCCACAATTTGCTGGCAGAGAGGAAGGGATGCTTGGACCCTCTAAGCAACTGAACACTGCTCCTACCCGCATTCCTTTACATCTTGCCTCCCCCCCACCCCTCCCTCGTCTCTCTCCCTTCGTTCTAAAAACTCTACTTACGCAGAAGCAGAGCTGGCTGGCGGGCGGGCTGGTTGGGACGCCAAATGGAAGATTATCAAAATCGGCTGTATAGAGCAGAGGAAAGTGTTAAAGGCGCGATAGCAGCGGTAACTGCGCCGGCGGATAAATCCGCCGGCGCCCCTGCATTGAGGTGTTTGTTTTTCTGTTTAATCTGTAGCTGAACCGCATTGGCATC